AATCATTAAAGTTAGAAAAGGGAATGTCCAAAGCAAAGGACATCTCATTAGGAGAAGAGAACTTATGCGTGTCTCCAATGTCTGACCACTGAGTAACTAGAATTTGCAACTTACATAAATCACCCTGAACATACCAGTATCCTGACCCCCCAGAATTGGGGAATTTGGAGAGACTGGTACCAAGTCTTCTCAAAAAGACTGACAAATGCTATCTAAATTTGGTCTCAAAGAGGACAATCTATCAGTGCCTTAATATGCAAACATTCTGGCCTCCCTGGTGGTACAGGTTGTTGAGCACCACACTGTGAAGCTTCCCGCAGCCTCTGCAGTGCCAGTTCCATCCCTGCTGGCCTTGGAGCAACCCACATGGCGAGCAGACCTCTCCTGTCTCGCCCACTATTCCCCTCAGCAGTGTATTTCGTCGGTCTGCCTGTTCTGTTCCCCACTCTGTCTCTGGTGGGTCCTCTCACCCTCCCACGCTTATGGCCTGTACCCCAGTTCTTGTATAAATAAAATAAACCTTTTTTTTTTTTTTTGGCCAGCGGCCGGGGAACGAACCGGTGCTGCAGAGGCTGCGGGCAGCCTCACAGCCCAGCGCTCAACAACTGCGCCACCAGGGGAGGCCCTAAATAAAATAAATCTTAAAAAAAAAAAAAAAAAAATGCAAACATTCTAGGCCTCCCTGGTGGCACAGGGAGTTAAGAGTCAACCTGTGAGGCTATCCACAGCCACTGCAGCATGAGTTCAGTCCCTGGGCAGGGAGCTACCCACATGGCGCAGCAGACCTCTCCTGGCTCACCTGCTGCTCCCCTCAGCAGTATGTTTCAGTCAGTCTGTAAGTTCTGTTGCATGCTCTGGTGGGTCCTCTCACCCCCCACATCTCTGGCCTGTACCCTAGTTCTTGTACGCATTTTGTTTCCCCTATGAAATAATTCTATTAGTTTAGCCATAGGAGGCAGTTCTGCCTATATAAATTTTGTATTTTTCCCCACATTGGAGCATTTACCCTGTCTTGCTAAGGGGTGCTCTCAATTGCAATCCCCTACAGACCTCAAAAAAATCCTTTTATAGGGCCTCCCTGGTGGCACAGGTGGTAGAGCTCAGCACTGTGAAGCTGTCTACAGGCTCTGCAATGTCTGTTCGGTCCCCGCCGGCCATGGAGATGCCCACATGGCATGGCAAAACTCTCCTGTCTCACCCGCTGCTCCCCTCAGCAGTGTATTTCGGTTGGTCTGCCTGTTCTGTTCCTCGCTCGCTCTCTCATGAATCCTCTCACCCTCCCATACATCTGGCCTGTACCCCGGTTCTTATATAAAAATAAATAAATCTTCAAAAAAAATCCTTTTATATGTGTAGATTTTAAGTTCTGACTCATTGCTGGGTAGTTCTTTAGCAACAGTCATGAGATAGACTGGTAATATATATACACACACATACACACACACACACACAGTATATCAAAGAATTGGTATTCAGGATATATAAATAACTCTTACAATAATAAAAAAAAAAAATCCCTTCCCTGAAAAAGAACAAAAGATTTAAATAGATACTTCATGAAAGGATATAGATGGATAGGTAATAAGCACATGAAAAAGAGTTCAACTTATCAGGGAAGTGAAAATTAAAATTACAATGAGTTTCATCTACCAATATTGCTAAAATTAAAGGAAACTGACTTCCAAATGTTGGTAAGGAAGATGTGGAGCAACAAGGTTCTAACAGTCTTGGTTGAAGTTTAAAATGGTATAACCACTTTGGAAAACAACCTGGCAACTTCTTTAAAAAGTTAAACATATATCTAGCCTATGACCCAGCAATTCCCAAGATAAATAAAAACACCAGTCCACAAAGACTTGTATAAAATGTTCATAGAAGCTTATTCATAACAAAAAAAACCTGGCTACAACTTAAGAGTCCATCAACAGAAGAATGAGAACTAACTGTGGCATTTTCATACAACAGTAATAAATTGCAAGTAGCTACTTAGTCACACAACATGGATGTCAAATCTTGCTAAGTAAAAGAAGTCTTTCATTTGGTGTACCATTGTATGCAATCGTTTGAAATGCATTAAAAGGGTAAAATGGTTAATGGAGGAACTGGAACATAGATTCTAAAACAAGTATATCAAAATATTAATGGTAGAATCTAGGTATAGGTATTTAGGTTGATCACTGTGTAAATTAGTGTGGTGTATAAATTTAACAAGGAATTCTAAGTTTTCTTCTATCTTTTGATAATATAAATGAACAAACTTGGAATTTAGACTCAAAAACTAGCCATTAAGAAACCCAAGGATTTTAGTAAACCAATGACCATTCCCCATTTGATTTGCAATGGATTTACTGGGATTACAAAAGCAAAGATATGTTAACTGATTTGCAAATATATGGTGTTAGTAGTAGCCCTTTAGAAAATGAAGAAATAAACCTTTTGCCTTTCCAAGGTTTTCTGAACCACCCAAGACCTTCTGGCAATAGTTTTTCTTCTTCAAAGTTTCTTTCTACCACTTGGGGACACTTAATTTTCAGCATCAATGGAAAAGAAATCTACTATGCTCCATTGCACATCAGAGTAACCAATGTTTTTTAAAAAAAAGTTATCATTAAAAATAAATTGGAAACTATCTCCATAATTAAATGGTTATGGGAAACCCTCATAATGTTCAGAGGCAATGACAACTTAAGGAAAATAAAGGAAAACATTAACTTTTCTTAACTGTCAAAATGGTTTGAATTTGGTCCCAGTTTGGGGTGAAGATCAGCCAAACTAATTCATCTAGTGGAAATTTAAAACAAAATACATAATTATTAATATTTATTACACTTCCAGAACAGCAGCTAAGGTTAAAAAAAAAAAAAAAAGATTACTATTCACAAGAACTTACAGATTAAACAGTCACCTCCAACATAGGTTGAAAGCCTGGGAAACAAACCAGGGCACCAGGGCACATCTAACAACATTAAAAAAGATGAAGAAGCTCTAAGAGAAAAGAAGTCAAAGAATTTCAGAGTCATTTATAAATGCACTCTCAAAAAACATCTGCCTAATAAGATTATTTAAATAGTCCCCAAGAGAATCAACTGATAACTATTCCCATCCTTGACAAGATGTATTTATAGAAATCAGAATATTAAATAGTATAAAGAGCTTGAAATATGGTCCCATAACAAGAGAGTTAAAAAGGAAATAATATGTGATACATATAAATTTTAGGTATTGAAGATTCAAATTCCTGACAGTTTTCCAAAGAAGAATTTCCAACAATATGGCAGACTACTTGTATAAAGAACACCTACCTCTCAATAAAAAGTACCTCAAAATACTAGATGAGGACATCTTTTATAAAGTATGTCTGAAATTGAGCTGGTGGTAAATTAAGGGAAACCTTAGGAGGCTATAAAAGAGAAAGTACAGTAATCCACAGGAGTTAACAAGGATTAGAGGCAGCATTTTCTCTGAAAGAGTCTGTGAATTTCTGGTAGCATAGCTCCTGGTTTTAATGATCTATATGTCCTGGGATAGAAGACAAATATATCTCATATCATACACAAAAAACAGATGAATTAAAAATTTAAATATTAAAGTCAAGAAATTTAAACATTAGGAATATATAGAAATATGTTAATGATATCAGGATTGTTAGAGATTTCTAAATAACAATATTCAAAAAGAGAAATAAAAGAAATTTAAACATTAAAATTAAGCAGTCTGAGTCACCAAAACACATCGTAACAGGGTTGAAAGAAAAGTCACAAAGTGAGGGGGAAAATTACAACACATATAACTAAGAAAGAATTAATATCCAGGATATACAGAGAACGCTCATGAAACAGTAAGAAAAAGTCAAACCACCCAATAAGAACAATAGACAAAGATTTTTTTCAAAGGCATTTATATAGGAAGAAGATAATGGGCTCCTTAATATATGAAAAGACATCCACCCCCCTTGACAGAGAAATACAAATTAAAAGGGCAGTAAGATACTCAAGTGCTAGCTACAATACAGAGCAATGGGAACTCTTATATACTGCTGCGGGGAGCTCAAATTGGTAAATACTATTCTGGAAACACTGTGGTATCAGAGTATGCAAATAATCCATAACCCAGCAATTCCACACCCAGGAATTCACCTAGAAAACTAACGTACATATGTACCATAAGACAAATATTCAAATGCATTTTCACAAAAATACTAATTCAAAGGGAAAACAAGTACTCCTATGTTCATTGCAGCACTATTTATGGTGCCATGGAAACCACCTAGGTACCTAAGAACAGATGAGTGGATTAGGAAGATGTGTGTGTACACACTGGAATACTGCTCAGTGATCAAAAAGATAAAGTTTTGCTATTTGTGGCAACATTATGCTAAGCAAAACAAGTCAGAGGGAGAAAGACAAATACTGGATGGTATCACTTATATGTGGAATATAGAGAAGTCAAACAAAGAGTCAGATAAAGTCAAAATAAGAACCAGCCCTAGAAAGCTATCTATAAAGCCCCAGAGGCCGAGGGAGAGGGACAAGAACAAAGTAGGAAGAGAGCACAATGGACTATGGGTGTACCACTGATGGTAAAGGTGGCTAACAACACCTGAAGGAGAAGATCCTGTACTTCTAAAACACAAGCAATAGTGTAAACCAAGGTTACCTCAGTTAAAAAAAAAAAAATGTATTCTTTTACTTGGTGATTTCACAATGAGAAATAATGTTTAATTAAAAAAATACAACGTACTCATCCAAAATTAATGTTTATGGAGCATATAAATATTCTCATCATGGCCTACTTATTCATTAATAGCTAAATTCATTAATAAATAATATTCTTTTCTAAATCCAAAGATAAAACACACCTGGGAGGCCAATTTTAGATAAAGCACAGAAGA